CACACACACACACACACACACACACACACACACACATCAGTACTCCAGTGGAAGACGATCAGGACTCATGCCGTCCCGTCGCTCTGAGACTCACCTACGAAACAGCTGCCGCGCTTCTTCTCCAGCACCTGGCTGATGTTCTTGACGCTGCAGACGGAGAACTTGTTGTTATTCAGCTTGTCTCCAGAAGTGGCTCGAGCGTACATGATGTAGTTCCCTCGCTCCTTCTTATCCTGGCTCTTGGACTCGCCCGGAGTGCACTCTGACCCGGAGTCATGCTGTGGACCATCATCATCATCATCACCATCTTTAAAGTCTCACAGCTCTTGAGACACTGAGATGAATAATATTTTATTTATTTACATTTACATCAGGGTTTCTGCTGGTTTTATGGAGGTAAATTTAAGACTTTTTAAGACCTTTTCAAAAAGAAAATGTAAGGAATAAATTGAATGGAACGCAATATGTTCTTTTAATGAGTTGCATTATATACACTTCAGAGTTTAAAAATACAGTTTTCAATAGATCTCCATTACTTTTTTAACCAGTCTACAGTCTTAAATATCTCTGCTCACAAACACTAGAATATGAAAAAACTTTTACTGTATCTTCTGCAAAACAACTGCTGCTCTTCCTCAGTGTTTCTGTCTCGTTTTCCAGTGCAAATGTCTGAAGATCCTTAAATCAATATACTGTACATTTACTTGAGAAGCAAAATGATGCAAGTCTTGTTTTCTGTGAATCTGATCAAAATGAAGTTTTTTTTTTTAGTTTATGAAAAAAACAAGAACAAATATATGGAATCAGAAAAATCTACTTAATTCAAAGGGAAACAAGTCTTCATTCCCCATTGGCAGATATCTGTTCTTGTTTTAATCATAAACTCACTCCATTTTGCTCAGTTTTTCAGAAATCTAGACATCATGCGTTCTTTTGCATCTCTTGTAAATGTATCTTGATTTAAAGATGTTTAGACATTTGTACTTCATTTTTAGCAGGTCATGCAACATCTAATTCAATTGATTAATTTAAGACTTTCTGCTCTGATTTAAGATTTTTTTAAGGCCTTAATTTGTGGAAGGACAAACTAAAACTTAAGACATTTTTAAGACCAGCAGAAACCCTGAATGAATCAAGGAATAAATAAATCTGGTTGAAGTCATTAGTGTATCTGTTTTCAGACACAAACTAGCAGTCAAACATCTCCTCATGTATGAGTGCCAGTGCAGTGACAGACACTCTCAAATAAGACACATGAAATGTAGTGATTTCAGCTCTGCTCACTCTGGACCTTCATCAGGGATGTCTGCTGGATCTTCATCAGCACTCACCGGGGAACCGAAGTTGTGTCCGACCTCGTGAGCGAAGGTGATGTGTGAGACTTTAGGAGGCACGTGCGAGGCGTAGTTCTGCACCGTGATGATCCCAGTGTTCAGAGACTTCTTCTTCCCATCAGAATACAGCTTATTCTTCTCACAGATTCCCCCAGAGCTCCCTGAGAAACACACGGCAGCATCAGAACCAGCCTGATGGAGAAAGCGCTTCATCTGAAGGGAAATCTTAATTACCGGCTGGAGCGCCGACCCAGGCCAGACCCAGCACGCCGTCGTCAAAGTCTCGGTCGGTGAAGACGTACGCCAGGCAGTAATCGTCGTGATTCTGCTCCGAGTTCAGCTCCAGAAACTTCTCCACGCCGATGTTAGCGAAGCGGAAAGGGTTGGAGCGATCGCGCTCGTCGCTGGTGGTGTTTATCTGAGACGAGACCAGCAGCGCTGTTAGAAACCAGCTGCTGTGTCTAAAGCTGGCTTACTAACAACTAAAACCACCAAAAAAAACTTTACTTAATTTAAAATAATATATATGAATACACTGTATATATAATATCTTCAAAAATGTTATTTCAGCTAGTTTTATATTTCAACATTTCACATTTTCAAGTCAATATGGAAGCCCATTTTTGCAACATAACAAAAAAAATCATGTTTTGATAAATAATCATCATTAAATAATCACTCCAAATGCTTTATGGAAACATTTCCAACTTTTTATGTAAATTTTGTCTGTTAAATATATTTATATTATATTGTATCAAATATATTTTTCTTAAATATGATATTTTTTCTCATGTGGTGGAAATGGGCTTCCATAACGTACTAAAAAAAAAAAACTACAGATGTTTAAAAAAAAATAAAAAAAATAAAGACAATTAAATGACTAAACTTCAACTAAAATGAAAACAGAAAATATTAAAACAAAAAAATCGGATCTAATTCAAAATATTATTAATATATTTTTTATAACTAATATTATTTGTAACTAAATATTAGTTACAAGCCAACTTGTGTGTATAACAGGGTTATTATTTACTAAAACTGAAATTTTATTAAAAAAAAATATTTAAAATGAAATAAATGTTAACTAGAAATAAACTATAAAAACACAATTTCAGCTAGTTGCTAAGACAACATTTCTCATTTTGTTTAGTTTAAGTCGATATGGAAGCATTATATATCACGTAAAGGGAAAAAAGTCATGCTTTGGTAAATAATCATGACATTAAAAGTCATAATTCTGACATAAAATCTGAAATTATGACAAAAAAAAAAGTCAAATATATGATTCAACAATGTTTTTTTTTTTCCTTACATGGTGGACATGGGCTTCGATAAAGTACGACAAAACTTAAAACTGAAACAATAGAAAAAAAGACAACAATATGACTAAAACTTGAAAATTAAAATGATAATAGAAAAAAAACTAACTCAAATTATTACTAAACATTATAATGGTATCTGAATGATGTGAACCATCTAGAAGCGATTAGAGTCCTCAGGTTCTGTCTTTCTCTGCACATGCACTAATATGACATGAAATCACCCGTATCCTCTTGACCATGAAGCTGATGTTGCGGATGCCCATGAAGTCTGTGCCCTGGTAGATGGCATCAATGGCCTTGACGTGACTGGAGATCTGCGCAGGAACACAGAGCATCATCATCATCATCATCACTCACTGATCTAGCGGTCTCCGCAGGTCAGGACGCACCTGAGCGATCACGGCCTCTCTGGTCTTGTAGTACTTGTAGAAGAGGTGATCGGTTTGGATGAAGAGCTGGCAGGTGTTCTTCTCCACCTGCGTCATCCTCTTCTTCCTCAGCAACACGTGATCCTCCTGAAGGGAAAGACAGACGCTTGTGCAGCTGCAGTTTCTCTGAATAAGGAGTCAAGCAGACTCAGATGTCTGACCTTGGCCGGTTCCTCCACCGCCGACGCCTGATACTTCTTCATTCGCTCAAACACAGACGAATCTGCACAGCCACCTTCCGGCCCGTATCTGTGCGGATACTCTGGATCACATGACCGAGAGGGACAGACCGTCAGCACGGTACAATCACGAAACCCAGTCAAAGCAGCGGCTCTCACGTCACTCTGAACATGAGCACCAGCGAGCAGGATCAGAGGAGTTAAACAGGAACATGTGACCGCTGGATGACCAATCAGAATCAAGTGCTCCAGAGAGACGAGCTCATTAGTTAATATATGAACTAGCATTATCAATGTGCAATTCTGTTACAGTATTTATGAACATCAGTTAATCAAAATACAGCTGAGGTTTATTTAATAATGTTAACAGATACAACTTTTTGGATTTTAATTGCGTATTAGTAATTGTTGAATTTAACATGAACTAAGATTAATAAATGCTTTAAGTACTTTTCATTGCTAGTTCCTGTTAACTGATGTTGACAAATGGAAACTTATTGTAAAGTGTTACCAACAACTCAGTTTATGATTATGAACAGGGGCAATCAATCAATCCATCAGCATTAGGGATGTTCATTTCGGTTATTTTTCCTAACCGACAACCAACGCTCGTTAACCAATTATTAACCGTTAACCGACAAGATTATTTTAAATTCGAATTTAATTAAATTAGAAAGGATACGTGTCTGTGTGTGGTTAAAAAATACTAACATTTGTTTCCCGGGGATTAATTTTACATGCGCAAAAAGCAGCAAACAACAGAACAGTTCATTTTTGTGCTGCGCGAAAGGAAACAGACAACAGAAAGCGGCATCCTATTTTTCTTTAGGCTTATTTTACAAAAGCACAAAGATTTGTTTTTATTGTGAATGAACACAAATAAAGGCAAACCTTTTACAATTCCGATTTTCTTTAGGACTAAAAGGAGTAGTTTCTTCCACTGTTAGAAGGAAAAAACTCAAGTGATTGCGCCGGCGCCACATGCGCACGCGCACACAGTTAAGCATTGCTACCCTGACAATGCAGCATGTTCTTTATCATAATAAAATAGTCAGTCAAACATATGAAAAAAACACACTGCTCAGTTTAAATATGTAGGTAGTAAAATCTGTGCCGTTAAGTGTTATCACCGTACCGCCGTGAATGATGTTATGCAAAACATTTTGTTTTACGTGGATATTGGAACGCGAGTGAAGTACATAAATAATAATTTGGCATTCAAATACATCGCTCGCACGAAAACATTTGATTTTGTGTGGAATGAGACCCAACGTTGGTTTCAGTTTCGTTTTAGCCTAAATGAATT